TCTCACCTCTCGGGAGCAAGCATCAATGAGAAGTTGGCATAAAGGCAGTAGGCGCAATTGCTGTGCGGGCGATTGTTGCCAGCGTCATCCGTGAAAGTTGTGAGAGAGGGCGGGGCGTTTGGCCACACCCCCGCTCAGCCCTTTCACCAGTGGCCTTGGCGACAATCGCCCGCCCACAGCAACCGTGCCCACTTCCTTGAAGTTCGATCCCTGCTGATAGTATGAGCTCAGTCATTTCTAGAGTTGACTGTAAAAGGAAGACTGTAAAAGGCAGAGTGGTTCTGACTCCGCCCAAGCGATCAACATGGACTGCAACTCTAATATATGAAAACATGACAATATCGTAACATCGACACCCTATTCGTAATCACCACCACGAACCATTGAATCAAACCAACAAACGTCAAAAGGGTTGATAGAAGAACTTACGATTCGCAGCGTCTTGATTATTATTACGTTCACTTGTGGTACGTTCTCGAGACGTTGAAACATCCAGTGACTGTGGCCGTGGGTTGGAGATTTTTGGCGATGGTGCAACGGCGGTGGTGGAGGTTGGTGTAGCGGCATTGGTGGAGCCGGGAGATGGCGTCGGCATTTTGGCGAACATCGTCTCAGCCGCTTCCAACGGTGAACGTTCATCATCCATCGATTCGTCAACTACAACACAACACAAAACACATGCTGGCACTAAATCGTTCACAACACGTCACATGAGAGGCATTTCATAAAATCAGGAAAAAAACGGCTACCGGTACTTATGGAAAGGTTGCATTTCCCAAATATCGTCAGAACACAGTTGGGGGGACTCTTCAAAAAAGCTCAAGGATTGCCTACAAGAAAAGTTAGAATAGCTAAATGAAAGCAGGGGAGAAAACAAGCTGTACTCCTTCTTAGGTCAAGCGTGCCGAAGACAATGCGTAAACCACGCCCAGCAGTGGGCGGTACTTCACATGTGCTTTGCATTCATTCTTTTCACTGACCCTTAGTTACTGGAAACCATTTGGAATGCCACGTATTAGTAGGTTTTCATGAGTTTTTTTTCCAAGAAATTAGAAGAATTGTCTTGCCTGAAAAAGGGGGACCAAGGGCTGATCAACTCGGATATGTCCGGGATCAAAATTACCCTCTTACAGATCGGGCAGTTGTCTAATTCAGCATCATTTTGGTGGGGGAGTTTGAATAAAATTCGAAAAACCAGTTATCGACCTATGTAACCCACTCAGCCCTAGCGATACGCAACGCAACCTGCACCCCTTCCCATTCTAGCGAAATGGGATTCCGTAATTGCCTGTCTTATAATCAAAAGCTCAATGCTAGGGTGTGAATTGACAACAGAAACAATCCTACAGAAATTATGGGGAAATATTCCATGCTGAAGGGAATTACAACGGGCATTCGCTTGGTGTGGGGGGGGGACCAACACCCCCGTAACCACCAAAGTTCACCTCGTGAGAACCTGTAAGTTCTTGTAACCCGAGTGGCTCGCTTGTATCACTCTTCCAGTTTCACAAGAGTTTACAGGTTTTACCAAAGTGACACCTTTTAGTCAACATTAGTTAGTGGAAAGATCTAATGAAATGTGCAAAATGCCCTTCCCAAGCCGAACAGCTCCGGAATACATTGTAAGGTAGAGGTCAATTTATAGACTTTTACATAACGCGTCTAGGGGGTCACTAGGAAAAGGAGCTCATCGTAAGGGAACAGGCCACGTTCTTCGTGTGGGCGGAGCCACGCAACCATTGTACTTTTCTGGCGTGCCTCTCCTTAGAAGGCGAGATGAAACTATGCAGCCCGCACAATGAATGGGTGTCTCCGCCCATACAATTATCGTGAACCAGTTGAGCAGTTCTTGGGTGGAAATTTTTCCCTGTGAAAGTTTGAAAGTTTAGATCAACTCATTCTCTTTGACAGGGAACTTCATGGCTCGAGTCCTAGTATCGGCCCTCGAAAAAGCCCACTTACCAGATACATGTTGTATCGGTGGCGGTGGAGCTCGACCTTCCACACAGACGTCGGGCATCGCTTGAATCGAGTTCTCAACGCGCAACGTCGATTTCCATTGACGCATTCGCATCATAAAACGATGCTGTGACGCAGCGAACTTCACGAAATAAGCGCTTCTGGAATTCCCAGTTGAGCTTGTCAACGCAAAATTAAAAATGAGGAATAATGAAAAAGAGGAAGCATGGTAAGAAAAAATAATATGCTCAGCTACATGAGCGCACAGTTCATGTTAGTCGTGTGGGCGGAGGCGGTCAACATACCTCTCATACCGGTGACTTTAAACAATCTACTAGATTTCGAGCTCTGCTGACAAAACCCCTGCGTTTTACGGCCGATTTCCTGAGCTGCTTACTATACGATTGACAGGGTGCAACATCGGGATCGGTGATATGGTGGTGCCATCATGACCTCCCCCGTTCCCCAAACGACCTCCCCCTCTCATAACCTGCCTACCACCTTTCCAGATTCCTCCACCTCCTTACACTCCGCAAATTTCACCACTTCAAAAACAGAAAAAGAACCGTATGAGGGGAGGGGTTGGGAGGTGGAATGTATCGCACATGTGAAACGGGAATAGCCGCCAACAGAAGAAATTCCCGCGCGATTCAGAAAATTTCTCTCTAGGCCACATGGGACCTCCTCCCGACCGTCACAGCATAACCCCTTCTCGATGCAATTCTCCCAACTGTCATGAACAGATGAAGCCCGCCTATAGGAAAGGGCACGGTGGACCTGACCCCGCTCACACAAAGGGCGTGGACAGTGCTAGTAACAAGGCGTGGCCAGAGTCATTAACATAGAAAGTGTCCGATTCTCAACTTACTTCGCGTGATGATCCGTGAAGAAAGTCGATTCCGTTTGCTGGCTACCTTCTACTGCGATGATTACAAACCTGAAACTTGGTATTTCGATTTGAGCAAAAACGCCAGTGGAATTAGTACGTTTTGGAAGGGGCCATTCTTCAGCAGGGATGATCCACGTCATTTCTGCTTGCCTGCATCCTCTCACCGAGACAGCGTGACATATTCTGATGTGCTCAATAACATTCAGAAAATGTCACTCTATCATGATGTGGGCTCATCGCATCAGAACGTGACACTGCTGAGTCTTGCTACAGAAATGTCCCTCCCAAAACAAATGGCTCCGGTGAGTATACGTCTTCCGAAGCTTTATTGGTATCTGCTCACTTTTTCCTGTCAAACTGTAACGTTTGTGTGTTCTGCCACAGATGTTCCACCAGCAGTTCTCTCATTGAGCCCTTAATTGGTAGGTAGTGCTGAACTGCTTCATAAGAGATCAAACTCCTTTCAAAAAAGCAAATAATAAAAATATAAGGACGCCGTATGGCTCGAGGGAGGGGAGGGGGGGGGGGCATGCATCTGCGCTACTTCCCATCGTCGGGTTCTTTGTTCCAAAACGACTGGTATCACTTCATGGCTTCACAAGATTCCACAGGTTTCTACCTTAATGGCTCGCCGCGACGATGGGAAGCAGTGGAAGTGCGAAATTCCCCCTCCACCTCCCAAGCCAAGCTGCGCGCATACATAAGTAGGAAGTTAGTAAAGGGCAAAAAAAATAATGAAAATAGAAATAAGAAAGGAAAACACGGTTTTGAAATCTAAAGATTGTGTACCTGCTCTTCATAAATCCCGATACCGCGTGGCATGATCGCAATCCAAAGAGCTGCTCCAGTGTCGGGATCGAACGGAGCTGCACCATGGACACCTGCTGGCTTATTTCGGAAAATTCGATGAAGGTGGGCACCGAAATCACGATGTCGTTGGCAAATCTGAATGATACTCTACAGTACTGTATGAAGTAAGGGAGCAATGTTGAAACATTGTAGGCGTCAGGAAGCGCCTCCATTTGAGGACCTACGAAATAAAACCCTTGTAGTAATGTAGGCAGGGAGCATGGGGGGGGGGAGGGGAGGGACAGATGCATTTTCACTTCCAGTTTCACTGAGAAGAGGCGGAACAGCGCTGCTGTCATGCTCTAGGAGTTAAATCCTGGTTCTGAGTACAAGGCACGTCCTAGCGTAGGCAAAACTTTGGCAAAGTGTGGAGGAGGGGACCACCCGTCAAAAAATCCCTCCTCTGGTACGACTCCCTCTCCCTTCTCCATCCTACCCACTATCTTTACAAATTTCTTCAACATCTTACAGATTTTTTAGAGTTTTCCTTGAAACCTCCACATTTTCCTGCATACGACCGCCACCCACCTCCCCTCCTTCCCTCCAGCCGAAAAAAAAGAAAGATAACCCCCTTAGTGGGGATCTCCAGTGTACGGCACGCCCTGTTCAATACTGCCCATGTCGACTGTCTATCTTCGTCTAGGACGCGATTTGTAATCAGAGAAGACTGGGAGATGAAGCTCAAAGATGGAACGGCTGAATCAGCAATCCTTGAGGCGGCCTACAGAATGAACCCCTTAATGGAAATGAGGGCAGCTTCAAACCTAACAGTTTTCACCCAAACAGTAAGTACCGAGATTAACTAGAAGGGCGCAAATAATAAGAGAAGAAGAAAAAAAGAGAAGGGCCAAGTGCTTGCCTAAGAAGTGAAGTGGCCGGCGTCCATCTTTCCTTCAGGCGAAACGACGAAACCAACATTATTCTGCCTTATGTGAGTGAAAGTTGTACAGATCGCCGAGAAGACAAGCGGACCCTGTACCACTTTTCGGGTTCAACACCTTTGAGCGGCCCGTACGTCACGCCATTCTAGTGCATAACCCGTTTTCGGAAAAGCTACCTGTATGAACTTATGTTCGGCAATTGTTGGTTTGGTCCCAGAGTAGTGTCCATGCATTTCGGCAAGAACTGCTTGAAGATGTTTCGGATCGTCCAGATTGCAGTAGCGCTGAAACAGATCAGTCTAACTTAGCGGATGTAAAACAAGGCATACAGTTTCCGGGAAGCTAGGGAATGAAAAATTGAGCCACGTTTGATAAAGGATATGCGATGGTACATCGGCAATGTTGGCAAAGATACCAAGCCTGCAACTGGAGCTCTGGTAAGATTGTGTCTGTATGAGCTAGCACTGTTGTTGGCCACTGCTCTTCACCGCTAACCCTCCTTTCCCTTCGCTCGGGTTGCATATCCCATTTTGCCTTATTTGACTTATCGCAACAAAATTTTGTATTTTCTCTGCATTTTTACCGGCCTTGTACTCCTGCACCCGATAATAAATTGTTTTCGATATGAGATGAAATTCGCGCATACGTCCCCGGATTTCAATGAACTATGCCCTATGCACGATTCAGGAAACGTCAATTGTGTTTTTTTGCACGAAAGCGACTTCGAACAGTGCTATGATCGCGGGTATGATTAGGTGTTTCAACTCTAAACTCTGAACAAGGAGGGTCTTTCAGGCGCGCTTTAAAAATGGTTTGTTGCTTGTTGTAGGGGTCCATACAAGGATTACAAAAATGGGTTTCATTTTTGCTATGCGTTTCTGGGGAGGTCAAAACTGAGTGAAAACAATTTGACAAGAAAGGGCGATTTTAACCGTCTTATTGGGCTCTGTTGTAGCTGTAACTTTGAGAGTGCTTAGTTTATGAGGTGTTCCTTCACTATGTATCGAAAAGAGAGCAAAATAAAGTCAAAAAGAAAGTGCATGGAGAAAAGTAGTACCGAAGTTACTTCAACGACTCCCGCAACCAGTGTTCAGTGGTCGGCGAATGGCGGAGTGGATAGTGCGGTCGCTCTTACGGAAAAGGTTTGCGGATGGGATCCTCGTGGCGCCCGACTTTTTGCATTTTTCGGATACTTCATGCGTGTTTCGGATTTCTGTCTCCTTGTGTTCCTGCGTGCATGTTGATGTATATAACAT